AGCTTTTGTTTATCTTTTTGTATTTAACGAATCTTTATCTTCCAGTAATTTTCGAATTTCGGCTTCGCCAAGGTTGGCGAACCTTTCAGTGGAAGAAGCCATTTGTATTTTACTTGTATTAAGAAAAAAACAATTCTTTAGTCCTTCTGCAGCCGTCGTCGTCATATCGATGGCGTCAGCGAGTCAATATGATTCTCGTCGTCATAGTAATATGGCGCAAACGCGTCCAAATTTTTTTCATATTGACTCTTTGAAGTCATTTTGCTATTATGAATGTGAAAAATCCAGGTTTGGTTAGCCATTGAGTTGATATGACAATTTCACAGCTGGCTGTTAGCCAATCAGAAACCAGGAATTTTTTAAATAAATAATAATCATGTTTGTCCTATGACTGTTAATAACATTCCGTTTCTCTTACAGGCTCATATCAACTTATGTGATCACACCGTGATAATATGTGTTCACACCCAATGTCCAACAAAAGTTAAACGTTATCTTTTGGCCAAACATTTGGAGGAAGAATGTCTGTATCGGTCTGTCATGTGTGAAAACTGTCAAGAAACGCTGCCTTTTGCTTATATCGAGGTATGTCATAGGAGTTGTCTTTGTGACTGTTGCCCCTTACTTGCCACGTGGGCAGAGGGCAGTGATTAACTTTCACCTCTGAGATCGTGGGTTTGATTCTTGCTGCAAACTCATGACACTTATATATGTAAAAAGAGTTGGTCATCGCTCTACTGAAAGTCACGTCTTTTATCCGGGTTCTCCGCTTTCCTCTCACAATGAATGCGTGTTGACAAGGTGGGTTGGGATTAGCTCTAAATTGACCCTTTTACCGTAGCTGCATGTGCTCGTGATCAGACATGAGTCATAAGATGACTGCCATAAGCGCCCTCAATAAGGTTGAGCTGCGTCCTTGGGCAGGGATTAACTTTCACCTCTGAGATCGTGGGTTTCATTCTTGCTGCGAACTCATGACACTTATGTATTTGAAAAGAGTGGTGGGTTTTCTCCGGGTACTTGGGTTTCCTCCCTCAAGGAATGCATGTTGACAGGGTAGGTTGGGATTATCTCCAAATTGACCCTTTTACCCTAAGCTGTGGTCCGTGATCAGACATGAGTCATAAGATGACTGTCAGAGGCGCCCGCAGTAAGCCTTCGACTCAATCAGGTTGAGGGACTGCGTCCTTCGCAATTCAGCTTAGCTCTCAGCTGAATGTAAAGAATGATTAGCACCCCCCCCCCCCACCCCACATCCAGAGAACCAATGTAAATATCACGAATTTTGGCATCTCACTTGGTAGAACTAAACGTTGAATAGTAAAAAAAGCATAAGATTCTAGCAAGAGTATCAATACAACTAGCCACTGTTATTTACTGTAGATTCACATATTAGTATACTCTATGTAACTTTGCTTTTCGTTCATATATATAGAAGCATATAAAAGAAAGTTGTCAGGTAGCTCCCCTCACGTGTCAATATTGTCAGTTAACGAATATACCTCGAAAGGAAATGAGAAAGCATCAGACTGAGGAATGTGAAGAAATTGTCGTGGAATGTGATTGTAAATCAATTGGCTGCGACTATACTAAGGTTAGTGTGTTAGTACACTGTATTGGTTGATTTCAGTAAGGCTGACAGGACAGCCAACTTCAAAAATGTGTGGACACTTAAAATTAAACTACATCTCTGACAAGACTATTTAACAATTATTCGCCGAAGGGGAATAATTGTTTTAGTATTTTTACACAAGTCTTTTGGGACTGAACTTATTTTAATTTCGCTTATTTCTTTATCAGTAACTTCCACAAAACGGCTAGTCGCCATTTTGATAACTTCGTTTTTGTTATATTTACCTGTAGGTTAATCGTCAAATTTGACCAATGAACGTGTAGGATTTGTTATGTTCACTTGTGCAAAAATACAAGACAGTCATTTATTACAAGACCACTACACATAATTAAATGAATGAACATTATTTCTCACTCTGATAACTGCAGGTTGACCACCATCTGCTGCACGATATAGTGCTTAACAGTGAAGGGACACCTATCGTCTAACAAATGATGGTCAACCTGTAGTTATTAGAGTGAAAAAATAATGTTTATTCATTTCCACATATGCAAAGATGGATTTACTGGAAAAGGGGGAGGGGTGCGCACCCTGGTGAAAGGCGGTGCTTTTTAGAACGGCAGTTACAAAAACAAAAATAAAATAGAGATAAAATGAGATAGTACCATGATTGTGAAATTGTCAAACAAGACTACAGACTAGTGCATGCCTTGCTGCCGTAGTTCCCTCTAATGATTACGCACTTGTCATGGTCAACGATCGAACCCAGTACGATGTCTAGTGGCAGTGGTCGATGAGTACACACCTACGCACGTACCCATCCCCCAACTGACTGGGTCCATTCCTGTATATATCTAGCAGTCTTGAAAGATGTATAGTTTAATTTTCCTGCTTTCCAATCATGTTTTGTATTTATAATACGACTTCAATCCGTTAACGATTTCGGTAATGTTATATTTAGGTGAGTAAAAGAAAAGAACTTCGTAAGCATTACAAGGATGCGTCTCGTTTTCACATTCAGCTGTTGTTGAGATTTATTTTCGAACTGCAAGGCGAGATGCAAAATCGTGCTCCGAAATTCGAGAATTTTGCGACGAAGCAGCTGGTTTTGGACGAAGTCAACAGAGTAAAAGATGCAATTTCGGCCGAAATTAAAACCATGGAAAGTAAATTCTCTGCAATGATGGCAACTGTAAATGGTTTAATAAGAAGACTGGAAAATGTGGATTCAAGTGGAGCGAGTAGTTCTAATGGTTCAGGAAGTAACGCTGAAATCAGACGAATTGAGATGAGAATGGGAAAAGAAATAGAAAAATTACAAGCAAAAAATAACAGGCTTGAAACACAACTGAGGGAAGCAATGGAGGCGATGGAAAGATACCAAAATAAGATCGAACAGATTGATCAATCCGTTGCTGTTATAACAGCCAGGTTTGCAGACCTCGAACCAAGAGAACCATCTCAAACTAAAGTGAACTACAATGGTGTCTTACTTTGGAAGATTGAAGGCTACCAGAGGAAGCGACAAGATGCTATTAATGGAGTGAAGACTACCATATTTAGTCCATATTTTTACACCAGTGAGTTCGGATATAAGATGTGTGCTAAAATATATATGAATGGATATGGGTTTCGAAAGGAATCGCATTTATCTTTGTTTTTTGTTGTGATGAAAGGCGATTACGACGCTCTTCAAACCTGGCCGTTGCAAAAGAAGATCACGATGATGTTGTTGGATCAAGGCAATGGAGATCATATGATTCATGTGTTTAATTCAGATCCTCAAAGTTCCTCGTTTCGACGTCCGAATTCCGATATGAATGAGCCTTCGCGTTGGCCACTACAGATTCCTCTCGATGGCTTGACGTCGCGCTCCCCACGTCAATTTGTCAAGGATGATGTGATGTTTATTAAGATAATTGTAGAAGAACTACAATAGAAGTTGATATGTCGAATTATTTTATTACTTTCTTTATTTTGCTTACACAACAGACATATGCTAGGACAAATGGACAGTTCGATATATTATAATCAGAATTGTGTGAATAGTTACCACTGTTGGAGACTGCTGTCTAGAGACGTGCTGGGGTCTTAAAAAGGACAACGAATGAGCAACGTCTGATGGGGCCCAGGTGCAGTGAAAGAATGGCTCAAGATTAATATTTTTTTCAAAAATCGTTGGCGGGGAGGGAGGGGGGGGAGGTCGTCAATTTTTCCGGATATACCAAAATTTTTCCGCACATATCGTAATTTTTCCTGGAATGCAAAAATTTTTCCGGACATATCGTCAATTTTCCGGAAATAGTAAATTTTTTCCGGGCATATCGTAACTTTTCGGTCCCACATACGAAAATTTTTCCCTAATGTTTTCGTGAATTTTGATTTTTACAGTATAAACTGTACTATCTTAATCTTGATTTTGAAAATTAAAATCTCAATGTTTGAAAAAATTTCAATGTTTTGATTTTAGAGGCCCATGATGGCAAGGGCCCACAACGAGTTCTCGTTGGCTCGTCCCTAGCCAGCACGTCCGTGCTGCTGTCAGATCTAGTAACAATCTTAATTGGGTTTGGTTTTAATTTTAGGTTAATTAATGGGTGAGGTAATATATGTCAGTAATGTGTCAAAAGGTAACAGAAAATAGTCAGTATGAGGTCTTTAATACAAGTGTAGTAGCGACCGAAATGTGTGATGTGATTTTTATATGTATTCTCAAATTATTTTTTATTAAATTGATTATTTTATTTGTCAAGTCACAATACATGTGTATTCTCTCTACATATTTTACAGGGAGGTGGTGTTTTAGTTTATTAATAACGCCCGTTACCATTTGTTGATCAGAAGTATAAATCATTTTAGAATATTTTATTTGGTACTCAATTTCTTGAGGCCAAAATGGTACTAAATATGACAAGTACCACTAAGGGCCTGTTCATATGGGCAAAAGTTATCCCGGTTAACGAGAGAACTTTTCGACTAGCCAAATACTTTTGTTCTGTTCATATGGAGAAATATTATCCCACTTACCGGGAAAAGTTTCCGGCTGTGGCGTAGCACTGAACATCAATTGAATTGAAAAGTTGCTGACACGACAAAAAGTTATCCCGCTAAGCGGGAAAGTTGTGTTCATATGGGGAAAACATTATCCCGGTCACCGAGATCTCGCCTGTCAACAAGCGAGATCTCGGTACACGGGAAAACTTTTCGTCTCATATGAACGCAATGTAACTTTTCATATTATTTTCGTAACAAGGCGAGATCTCGCTCGTAAACTTGTCGAAAAGTTTTCTCGCTAACCGGGATATCTTCTGCCCATATGAACAGGCCCTAACATGATCAGAATTTGAATTTGAATTTAATAAATTTGTCACAAAGCGACAGGCGGAAGAAACAGGACTCAATGTTCCAATTGAAATCTATTGAAATGCAGTCAACGCCATTTACAATTAACAGATTTAAATATTATTATAATGGTTTTATAACCATGCATGATTTTATGATAGCTGTTTACAGACAGAATACTAAACTGCATTGAGCTCATTACAGTAATTATTTATATTAGCATGACAAAATTACTCGATGCTGATTGGTTGAGAGGAGTACAATTATTCATTAATTATTTATCTTCTGTAATCAGTGGAAAATACTGCAATTTCATTGGTTTACAGGAGTGCGATTTGAGCATTAATCGCACCTTTTCTGAGCTGTAATCGCACCCCTGTCTACAGCGAATGAAATTCAGTACTGCATTTTCCCAAAACAAGCAAAATGGCGAAAAGGTATTTTAAACACAAACGTGAACTGAAATTGCCCTAGAGGAACTAGATGAAAATACGAACAAAAGCACCAAATTTTGCTTTAACAAAAGAACTAAATGAAAATACGAACAAAAGCACAAAATTTTGGTTAAAAGTCTGGCAGGACTGGGCTTTGGCGAGAAAATATGATGTTGACATTGAGAAGTATCCAATTTTGTCATGCTAATAATAAAAACAACTAATCATGCGATGTTGCTCGTACAATTAGAGATTAATAATACTCGTCCCGGCGGCTCGTCCAATTTTGGCAAAATTTCCAAACATCCAGGGGCGTAGCTAGCATGTATAGTTGGGGGGGGGGGGGGGGGGGG